ATCTTCTTCCCTTGGAGCAGCAGCCCGTAGGTTTGAACTGTTGACCTTGGGGGTGAGCTGCCCAATGTGTAATCCCCTACACTACCAGGGCCCCTTAACCACAGGTATAGGAGTTTGGGTTTACGACACATTTTTCAATGTACCATGGGCTGCCAGAAGAACAAACATCTGTCTTGAAGGAGGGACAGCTAGAATGCTCGTATTTTCTTCACTGACCCTCTACCAAGCTGGGTGCCCCTCTCCGAGGATTAGTCTCTCCAGATAACACATGCAAAGCACCTGAAGCAGTCTCAGACGTGGTATAAGGGGTTACAATTTTGCTGCCTATCCACCAAGGTCAACAGTTCGAAACTACCAAACGCTCCGGGGCAGGAAGATGAAGCTGTCTGCTCCTGTTCAGAAGGAGGGTCACAGAAAGGCGAAGCACCCGTTTCAGGCTGTCCTGCGGAGTGGCTGTGAGCCGGGCCCCTTAGGAAATAGGGTTTCTTTGTTATGCTCAGGAGGCAGGATTAGTCGAGGGTATGTCTTAAGTTATCCCTTTTGAGGTATAAGAGAGGTTAAGTAAATGTTTAGAAAATGATAATCGCAAAAAAATAACAAATAGGCTTGATACTATTGATGTATGGAATGTTGTAAAAGAAAAATATGATTTAAGAAAAGGCGGGGACGGGGGAGTTTAAGCAGACAGAGATGGGGAAGATTGCTGCCATGACTGCGGAAATCTCCTAGGAGCCACGGACCGGAAGCTGAAGAGATGAGACCCTTCCCCGAGAGCCCGCACCTTAAATTTGTGAGAAAGCAAAGCTCTGTTTGTGAGAGACACCCCCTTATGGTCTTTGTCATAGCAGCTCTAGAGAACAAAGCCAAGTCAGTCACCCATCTACTGGGCTTTAGGGCACTGAAGGGACAGAGCCACGCTTCCCCCAAACCCCTGCCTTCATGCAGTACATGTCACAGCTGTTGAAGGTAGGTACACAGACCCCTTCTGCAGCCCTCTCATGCCCCCACTTCCCAGACAACTCAGCCCCCCCCAGAGCTAGAGAGCACCCCTCCATCCACCTCCAGTCTTCTCCATCTGTCTGTATGGGGCCAAGGAGGACAGCTCCAACAGCCTCAACCAGGCTTCCTCCCATTCGTCCAGCCCCCGCTTACCCTAGTGTTGAAATGGGTCTATGGGAACCACTTTTGTACAGGGTAAGATGAAGAGGTGATCGGTGGGTGGGGTGGAGTGAGGTACCACTGCGCTAAGGTTCTATTCCCAGTGACCCTGCTATGTACAGGGCAACGGCACCCCAACACGTTTGTTCTTTGTTCTGGTCCCCCGTGACCCAGTCAACATCAATCTTCTTCGCCAACATCCTCCTTCCAACAAGCCACGCGTCTTCCATCTGCCTGTATCCATTGTCCTGTATCTTTCATGTGCCCCAGAGCGGCTGGAGAAGACCCCGCCGGCTTGGGGTAGGCGCCGCCAAGGTCGCAACGTGCCCTTCCACTCTTGGAAGAGGTCATGTGCAGCATCTCTAACCAAGGGCAACTTGCCACTCGGTTTGTGGACTGCTGCTCCCGTGGGCATTGGTGGTGGTTCCCAGGAGACTGAGGTTCCCAGCGACATCCGCCTGTGTGCTGCCCATCGGGACAGTGCGTGTTTACTCATCCTTTAGTCCACACCTTCGCCACCTCTTCCATGGGATGGACGCTGACGTTTGCTGAGCGCTTTCCTAGGAGCGAGCGTGCCCGGGTGCAGTATTAAATAAAAAAATACCCCGCTCCCACTACCATGACTCGAATTCTATCTTGCAAGACTGGCTGGACCAGAGGAGGTACACTGGTACAGATAGGAACTGAAAATACAGGGAATCCAGGACAGATGAGCCCTATAGGACCAGTGGTGTGAGTGGCAAAACAGGGAGGGTAAAGGGAGAATGGGTAGGAAAGAGGGAACCGATTACATGGAACTGTGTGTGACCTCCTCCCTGGGGGACAGACAACCAAAAAGTGGATGAAGGGAGATGTCGGACAGGGCAAGATATGGCAAAATACCCATTTATAAACTATCAAGGGCTCATGCGGGAGGGGGGAGCGGGGAGGGAGGGGGAAAATGAGGACCTAATGTTGGGGGTTTAAATGGAGAGAAAATGTTTTGAGAAATGATGTACAAATGCGCTTTACATAATTGATGTGTGTATGGATTGGGATAACAGTTGTATGAGCCCCTAATAAAATGTTTAAAAAAAAAAAAACATTTGAAAGATAGGAAAGAAGGAAAAGAAAAAAATAAAAAAATAAATAAATAAATAAATAATGACGCTGAGGGAGGTAGGGGAACTAGCCCCCATCCGCCGCTACTACTATTGCTACTACTCAGATTCAGTAATACTACTTCTGGGTTCAGTCATGCACAATTGTACGGTTGAGATATATAAGCATTATATTAAAGTCATCGGGAGCATGAGAGATAATACAATAATACAGTCAGGCATGTTACAGGGTAGCATTGCTCACCTCAGCCCAGCTTGGTGGTCCACGTGGAGAGAGGGGGAAGGGAAGGAGGGGAAGGGAACAAGGGAGAGGGGAGTGACCAGGGAGTGAGCAGCAAGGAGCTCAGAGTCAGAGAGAGAGAGATCTATATTGCTGACTCACACCTATATACCTTTTGGGGGCAAGCCAGCCCACTAATTACAGGTAGAGACATACGTCACAGGGAGGAGTTGCACTATAGGTTACACAGCAATGAGAGGGTGGTCTAGGGGGTGGTCTCTGGGTCTCTATAGGAACATTATCAGTAGGGTGCCAACCCCTCCTACAGGAACCAAGCTAATGGCCTTAGGCTCCAGAGAGAGGTAGTCCATTGTCTCCAGCAGCAGGGAGCAGGCCCAGCCCTGCTGTGGGATGAGACAGCAGTCTGGCAGCAAGTATCTGACTTCCCCCCACACCAGGGGCTTTTGAAAACTCATTCTGCAAAGCTACATGCTCCCCAGTGATTCCCTAACTCGAGGATGACGAGTGTGGGGAGGATGACGAGAGTGGGGAGCTGCGTGCCACAGGTACTAGGTGAACCGTTTGGGCCTAAGCTTTGAGACACTGTGTATGGGGGGAGAGGGGCATCACGGTCAGCGGGCATAATGTAGTTCACAAAGGCCTCGTTCAACATCTGACTTGCGTGTGTAGCAGCTGGGGAGGGTCTTAAAAGCTCATGAGCAGCCTCTCCCTGTCTGAAAGAAGAGTAATGAACATGGAGAGGCGTGGAAACAATTAGGGGGCTCCTTGGCTATACCACCATCAGTCTCCGTGGCCCCGAGACCAGAAGAACTAGATGGGGCCCAATTGCTCTGAAGAAAAGACCATAGGAGAAGGTGCTGGATCAGATGCAAACTCATGGCTATCGAGTGAATTCTGACTCACGGAGAACAGAGCTCAAACTCCCAAAAGAGACCAGCTCACTGGTCACGCAGACAGGTGGGGCACCAAGACTGTGGTCCTTATCCTCCAGGTCTGGAACGGAACTCACCACCTTGAGATCAACGATGAAGTATTCCTCTAAGGACTGAGGGCAGAGGGGGACGGGTGCCGGAAACGCAGGGTGGACGCGGAGTCCGTCCCGGCCCACTGAGGTGAGGACAGTGGATGAGCGGAGACAGAAAGCCTGTGACCTGTCCAAGGTCCAGCTGCTGATCTGCTCTGTCCGCCTTCGCCTCCTTCACAAGACAAACACTGAAGAAACAAGATCTCCCGGGGCCTTTGCGGGTACAGCACTACCAAAAGAATGCCATGGCATCGCTGTCAAACGAAGGACTGTCCATGGCCCTTCTTCCAGG